CAGGTGCGCGCCGGGGAGCTGGGGCCACGGGGAACTGGTGCGCACTGGGGATCTGGTGTGCGCTTGGGAACTGGGATAACTGAGGAACTGGGACAGGCGGTGCGCCCGGGGGAGCGGGTGCGCCTGGGAGGCCGGGGGCACCAGGGGCCGGTGTGCGGGCCGAGCCGTGCCGTTGGGAGCGCACCTGCAGGGAGCCGCTGGAGACACCAACGGGGATCTGTCGCAGCGCCGTGGCCCATCACCGCCCGGTTGCCCGGGACCCGGCAGCCTACGAGCTCTCCCCGCTTCCCGGCCCCTCACCGACCGGCCCCGATTACCGCGCGCGCCCGCCGCCGAGGGCGGGGGCGGGAGGCGGGCGGTCTGGCGCTGCGCGCACTTCCGCCCGCGCCGTGACGTCAATGGGCGGCCGCGGTTGTCCCGGGCGGGTGCAGCGCGGCGGGTATGACGGACCGGGGAGCTTCGCCGGGGCCGCAGGTACGGGGGCAGGAGAGCAGGGCAGGACTGGGCTCGGCTGGGCTGGGCTGGCTGGGCTGGGTCGGCTGGGCTCGGCTGGCTCGGCTGGGCTCGTGGCTCGGGCTCACGCTCGGCTCGGCTCAGGCTTAGGGACTCGGCTTCCGGCTTCGGCTGGGCTTCGGCTCGGGCTCGCGCTCGGCTGCGCTGCGCTTGCCGCCTTGCCACGGGGTCCCTTGCGGCGGGGAGTGGGCGTGTGGTCCAAGGCCCGGCGTGTCTACCTGCAGACCCGCGGGCGGGCAAGCTCAGGGGCGAACTCTGGGCCGCAGCGGGGCCCCGTGGGCGGGGGGACAGGAACGGCCGCGGGCAGGCTCCCAGCTGCGGGTGCTGCTGGGGCCAGTCTAACCGGCTCCAACGGGGCTCGGGAGGCCCCGAACTACCAAGACCCCTCTGCGGTTCCTCTCGCGGCCCGAGGCATCATCACCGCAGAAGGGGCAGTGCCTTGCTTGGGGGGAACCGTTGGGGGGACCCCGGGGCCTTGTTGCACCCGCGGGAAGGAGCGGGGACCTGGTCTCTATCCCCCTCGCAGGGCGCCCGAGTGGCCCGGCACTGGATGCCGGGGACTAGCTGCCGAATAGAGTGACGCTCAGATGTGAAAGCCGGGCACAGCTACCCTGCGAGCAGTGCGGTGATGCTGCAGCAGCCTCCTGCTGCTTCGCTGAGGGACAGGGACTCCATCAGCGGATGGTAGAAAGCCCTACCCGAGGACTCCTGGAGGGCAGTGCGGGCAGGTGGACTCGGATGCCTGAGCAGTGAACGTCCCAGGCTGGGGAGGAGGTGACGCAGGTGGCAGGCACATGCCCTGCTGATGGATCGCCACAGGGACTTACCCTGTGGGCTGATTGTGGGAAACGTCGCTGAGTCTTTCTTTCTGGCTGTTCCTCCTAGAGGCTCTCGGCAGTAGGTGTGAGGTGATCTAGCCCAGCTCCCGCAGTGGCCTGGCTTTCTGGTGTCTGAGGATGAGTTTGACCCCCACCAGGAGATGCCTCCTGGACCTGCCCTGGGAAGACATCTTGCTTCCACATATTCTCTGTCATCTGCCACTGCAGCAGCTCCTGAGCCTGCAGAGGGTCAGCAAGTCATTCCAGTCTCTCATCCAGTTGTACCTGGCCAACATGCGCTGCTTTGACTCAAACCAGGTATTGGATGGCTCTGAGACTGGGGGAGGACACAGATGTCCTACTGCTTTGGAACTAACAGGGGAGCATCTATGTGGGGAGAAGAACCTCTGGGCAAGGAGGGTAGTTTCTTCTCAGGAGCTTGGGTTAATGGCTCAGGTGTCAGACTGGACAGATGGGCTCAGGGAGGAGAGGTAGTGATTCAGGGCTCAGCAATGCCAGTGTCTTTATCAAGAGGCCCTGGGAGGAGTAAGCCTGGAAATTCCACCTAGGCCATTATGGGGCACTGGCTGGCAGAAACACAAGCCAGCTCTAGAGTGGCACAGCCTGTTGGTCCTCACAGAGGTTGTGCAATAGGGTGGGTCTGATGGGGGGTAACTCTGTGCCTGGTCATCGGGGAAAGCTTGTGCTAGCTCTAGGAGACACTGCCTAGGAGTGGGAAAGATAGGAGTAGCTGCTGTTCTGTGAGGACACAGAGTGGTCTAGCAAAGAGATTTTTGGAGAGCAGACATGTGGAGCTCACCACAGGTATATAAATGCAGGAGTGATTATATGGGATGGAGAAGCCAGAGCATCTTCCTAGCTTATGGCAGTAGCCTTGGCATGACGTGAGGAGAGTCTGATGGTAGGGTTTGCCCCAGGATGAGGACAGAGAGTGGCTTTGATCACCACTGTCACAGTGGAAGAAAGGAGGGGAGAGGGTATTTGGTGAGGATCAGGCTGATGTGAAACGCTGGGGAGGTGCCTAACTCTTCCTGGGTTCCCCACACAGATCAAATTTGCCATCCCTCGAGCTGCTTTTGTTAACCTGTTGAAGGACAACAAAGTACTGCAGCAGCTGGCGCTCCAGAACTGCTCTGCCTGGCTGACGGACTGTGAGCTGCTCCCAGTCATCGAGCAGAACCACCACCTCCACCAGATCCAGCTGAAGGGCTGCGTCCAGCTCAGCCGCCATGCGCTGGTGACCATCTCGCTGAGCTGCCCTAACCTGCGCCAGCTGTCCCTGGCTCAGTGCGACTGGGTGGACAGCCTGGCCCTGCGCAGCCTGGCTGACCACTGCAAGGCCCTGGAGGCTGTGGACCTGACAGCCTGCCGCCAGCTGAAGGACGAGGCCATCTGTTACCTGGTGCAGAAGTGCAGCAGGCTCAAGTCTCTGTCGCTGGCTGTCAATGCCAATGTGGGCGACGTGGCAGTCGAGGAGACTGCCAAGTGCTGCCCCGAGCTGGAGCACTTGGACCTCACAGGGTGTCTGCGAGTCAAGAATGACTCCATCAGGTACTGAGCAATGTGGGGATGGCAGGTGACTGGGGTAGGGAGAGGAAGAGAACTAGAGAGGAAAGGCAGATATCTTCATGCTGAAAGCAATGAGAGCTCAGTCTGGGAGAGAAGTCACTTGCAGGCCCTTCAGGAGAGACACTGTGTGCTATTGACAGCAAATTTCCCAGCATATTATGGAGGGTAGGTCTGGGATCCAACCATGTTCCTTGACTTTCTCTCAGACTGCCAGGGTGCTGCTCCCAAAGGATGGTGCACGTATGGTACAGTCATGAGCGCTGGGCTGCTGGGAGTAGAGTAGAGCATGAATGGTGCACTTAGGAATCCTGACTTGCAACTTGCATGTGCTTTCTTTCTTGGCAGAATCCTGGCTGAGTACTGTCCCAAGCTGCGCTCGCTGAAGGTCAAGCATTGCCACAACGTGGCTGAGTCCAGCTTGAGCATCCTCCGAAGCCGTGGGGTGGAGCTGGATGTGGAGCCTCCACTGCGGAGGGCTCTTATTCTCCTGGAGGATGTGGTTGGCTTCGCCCCTTTCATCAACCTTCAGATCTAGAACTGCTGCTGCCGGGGAGGGGGGGACTGATGCAACGCTGGGAACCTGGAAGGATGCTGGAACTGGCTGCTGTGGAGACGTGCAGAGGGAGAGGTCGGTCCCATTGGTGAGGCTGGCCTGAGTGGGGCTCACTCTTTCCTCTGGGGCTGTTTAGCAGCCACTGAGTGTTCATGAATAGGCTTCACTGATGCCTCTGGGGAAAGTAACTCCCTCTACAGTGGCGTGGAGAGAGCGCTTGACTTGCAGGAACACCATGGTGCTGAACAGGCCTTGGCCAGGCCAGCTAATAGATAGGATTTACTATTTGTTGTATTTTAAATCTCTAAGCGGCAGCTGTCCAGAGGGCAGGGGAGTGTGTGATGGGGACTGTCCCCTGGGGTGGGTGTACAGGGCATGCCAGCAGAGCTGTGGAACAAACCAGACCAGCTGGAGCAGGAAAGAGAACAGCTACCAGCCTTCCTCTTGGGAGAGGGCAGGCCCCTCTGGGCTCTGGGAGGAGGGCAGTAAGCCTAGCTCCAGCCTGTGGCCACTGGCCAGCCTAGCACCAAAGGACTGGCATGGCCCCAGCGCAGGCAGTGTGTCTGTCCAGGCCTAGGGTGCTGGTTTAGGCTGGGGCAAGGTGGGAGATGCTCCTAACTACAGTTTCACTGACAGAAAAGCACCAAACCTAGCTGTGCTGTCACTGAAAGCAGTTGGTCATTGTCATTTGTTTCTTCCAGCTTCTGACTTAACATTTTAGTAGTGCCCAGGCCTGCTACTGTATCTTGCTCCGTGTGGCATGGCTGGAAATTTGGCACTCAATATTGGTAAGAAATGGCAGAAGCACTGGCTCTACTGTAAGCTGAAGTTTGTGGAGAGCTGCAGGTTATGTTGGCAGGGAGAGTCTAGCTCTGGAGTTCAGCCTCAGCCCTTGTTATCCGCTAGGCAGTTAATCAAACAGCAGCCACATCTTGTGGTGAGAGTAATGAGGGGAAGAGAGGATGACCCTGATTCTATCTTTGGCCCTAGGAGGGATTGGAGATAGTGTCTGTAAAGCATATGCATGCTCTGGCAGAACTACACACCAACTCACATCATCTTTATTAATACTGGCACTCAAAGCAACAGTGCACAGAGACTTGTTAAAAAGGTTGCTGCAAAAGCACAAGCCACATCTCAGATCTAAAAATGTCCCATGCAATATAGAGCAGAGAATGCCCAGGCCCCAGAGAGTCACTGCAGTGTGCCCCTGGGGGCAGAGGGATAGCTACCCAAGGAGAGAAGTCTCCTCCTTGTCAAC